AAATTTACTATATAAAATGTTTTTCTTTTACATGAGTGAAAAGTGTAGAAGATTTAATAGAAACTCTCAATTCATGGATAAGTATTGAATTATAAATGTACCAAATAACCACTATAATACAATTTTTGCCAACAAAAAGGCCCACTTATCTATAGATTAAACACACCACCCCACTAAGAACTAATCATAACTAAGCATTTGAAGGACAACAATGAATACAAATTAGAGTTATCTATCATCTATGATGCTTTGAACCGGTCATCTTTTTCCATAGACAAGTAGAAAAAGGGGTCTTATTGAATGAATAATTATTTATACTGAGAAATTAATTTGAAAAAATATTTTTACATTAAATATTTAAAGAATATATTTATTGCTCACACTAATTTTATTCAACTTGAACAAGATCACTTTTAATAAAAAAATATTTATAATAAAAAATAAATTAAATAATATCTTGAATTTCAGTGTTTTTTTTTACTGTTTCTGAACAAATACCCCTCAAGCATATTGCTGATTATATTTTGAGTCTTTGAAATATTAAGAATTTTCATTTAAGAAATAAATAATAAAAACGAAATGTTAATATGGGTATATGCCCAGATAGAACAAATCAATCTAACTGAAAAACTTTGAATTTTACCTAATAATATTGTGAGTTTGAATTATTGAGTCATTACTCTAAGAATGACAGTATTTAATCATCACTATCATAGTTTTGTCACAGAGAATACCCAATCAAAAATAAATTAAATACTTTTTTATATAATATGCTCTTTTTTTCTTTATCAGAGTATTTTTGACATGACTTCCTGAGTTCATGACTTGGCATGTTTGATTGGAGAGTGAAGAGAATTGTTTTGGGAAAAATAAATTATTCCAACTGCGATGACAAAACTTTTCCTTTTGGGTCCATTTGATGACAAAACTTTAAAATTATGTTCTATTTGTATAAGTTGGAAACGAAGTTTAGCTAATTAGATATTTTTTTTCATTTAACTTAATTAAAAAGGTGCATAAATAAATTTCAACAATTATGAGACACAAGTGTGAATAAAATTAAAAATCCTAACAAAATGGGCAAATATTTGTTTGAAGGACAATACTGCTCATACCAAATGCACCAAAAAGTTTCCATTCTTCATGTCATCTTAAACCATAACTAAGGCCTAACTTTTCAGCGATTTTAAACACACACACACGTTTATACATACACAAACTAGAATATTGCTAAGTTTAGTAAATTGAAATCCAAAATTTGCCTTACCACCCTATGTTTGGACCTATGAAAGACAGATTTGGAAAAAGACGAATCCAATGAGTTATAATAATTGCAATGCTTAGTCAAAATCAAAATATTGGAAAGAGATATTGGTAATAATAGAAAAATTGGGTAAAGTGGAGAAATATAGGTGAATGATGCTAAGCATCATTAGGAAGCTTTTGAGGTGTATATATTATAAGTCCAAAATGTGAATTGGATTATGGGGATGACAAAGTTGTGTTCAAACCGAGGGACTCAGATCCCATGAAGGCACTAACACATAGTGATGAAAATGATTAGCTTAATATTTTATCACTGAAACTGGGAACTGCATGTCCACATTTTCCAAAAAAGAAGGGCCCTTGTGATCTTTATTTAATGTGGGGTTTGCACTTTGTTGTTCCTTGCTTTTTGAAAAGTTGGCAAATTAGAGGTTTGAAAAGTGAGGGTTTGAGGCATTGAAATTTGGAAAAGTGGGAAGACATTCAAAGGTGGGCTCTATCATGATTCCTTTCTTAGATGGCATTTGGTCCACCATTGTGCTTTTCTCACCGGATGTGTTGTCAGTGGGTAATTTAATCACTAAATTACTCCTTTATTAAACTTGGAAGCTAGGTTAACCTCTTTTTGGTTTTTCTTCCTTTTTCTAATTTGCCTTTTTGTTCTTATTTTTGGGTTCCTCTTGGTCAAAGAGACAAAAAGAAGAGTGGGTAATTAGATACATTTCTTTTAATAAAGTTTCTGGAATGTTGAGTGAGGTAGCAAGGTAATAAAAACTTTAAATTTTTATCACACAACTTTTGGAAATTGGGATGCAATTCTTTTAGGGAAGGTTGGAGCATGGAAGACAATTTTTTGCTCCAAGTTTGAAGCTCTTGTCACTCTTCTAAGTATAAAACTAGCTGGTAATGGATTGTAATACCTTCAAAAATTTCTATTTTGTTGATCTCAAAACAGCTTAGAAATTAAAGCATTTTGTTTTTGTGTGTAAACACAACAAGTCAATTAAAGCGGTTTGCTGTTGCTAATTGCTAAATCTGCATTTTTTATCAGCCCAAGCCCGAGCTGAAAAACATTGAGACCAAACATGGGAGTTTTAGGTCCATAGCCCATTTGTGAAATTGGGCTTATTACTTAAGCATCATTTTAAATCTGAATACTTTCAAACATCTTCGTAGAGCCCAGGCCCATGTTTTTGTAGAAAACAAGCAAATCCCCCTGATACTGATTTTTGTTTTTGCGGAAGATTTTTAAAAAAACACCACAAAGAAGAGAAAAGACCAAGAGCAAAAGAGCGAGTCATTTCATATAAAAACTTGTTTCTAAAAAGCTTAGATTTGTTTTTATCTCTCAATTATCCATTCTATTTTCTCACATTAAAAACTTTTCCAATCAATCTACATATTTCAAAAAAATGTGTCCAAATAATTATAATAATTACATTTATTTAAAAAAAGAGTTATATGTCGTTCATTCAACTAACAACCTAACATATCTCATAGGACAAATTTTAGGTAAAAAATTATATTTTTTAAAATTGATTACATTAAAATAATCTCATTAGTCTATTTTAAACTTTTTTTTACCTAAACAATGCCACCTTTTATATTTAAGCTATATTTGTCTTTTGAGCTTATCTAATAAAAAATAATAAATATTCTTGTTAATTTGATTTCTTTTTAACTTTAAATTAAAATCTCCATGGTAACTAAAATTATTTTAACAAAAAATTTCTTTAAACTTTAAAGTGTGACCTTCTTAGAGCTTATTTATGTTTACATAACAATAGAAAAAATGCATTTTAAATTAACTTTTTACTAAACTAATTATTTTTAACAAGATGGAGTCAATATTATTTGTTTTTGCTGTAACATATGACACTTGTTAAGCAAAAGTTAGAAAAATTCAAAGATTATTAGTACATGTTTGTTTTATCATTTCTCTTAACCAAAATTGATTTTCAAACAAAAACTAATAATAAAAGAGTCTTGCATGATTTTCAATGCAAGTTCAATAGCTGTGATAATTTATCAAATTTTCAAAAATGCATTTTATTTATGCTATATTTGGATGAAATAAAGAACGAGCAGAAAGAAAACAAAACAAAATAGTGATTAAGAAATAGATGAAAACTGAAATGAATTGTTTTTTGTTTAAATGGATAAAGTAAGAGAAGTGAAAAAATTTACAAATAAAAAAGGAATTTATACAAGAAATATTTTTATAATAACAATAAAAAATTATTTTAACAAAAAATTAAGATTGTCATATAAATTTTTCTTATTTATGTAATTTTAATTATTTCTATATATTTTTAATAAATTGTCAATGAAACATAAAAATAATCCCACATTTCTCCCTACTCAAAATATCACTACATTTTGTGAAAAAAAAATGGTAAGCCCAATATAAAAGTTTATTTTCTACTCATATAAGATAAAATATTTAAATATATACTTTTTTTTCTTACACTTGTTTTCCTTACTTAATCTTTTTCACTAAAATAAACAAAGCATTAGCAATTTAGTAGTCAAATCCTTAAGAAAAATTAAAAATTCCCATCACAAACTCAAAGTGGTGAACCTAAATTTGCAACTATGCATTAAAAAAAATGCATAAAAAAACCTAAATTTGAAACCTGACTTAAAATTACCCTATGAGCAAATCCTAACGGCAATTTCCTTTTAGCTTGTCCAGCAAACAATAATAATTTTTTAATTTAAAATTTTAATTAAAATACAGTAGGAATACCAAATGGATAAATAAAATAAATCATAAACCAAATCACAATAGATGAATAAAAAAAATTATTAATCCAATTTGTTATATTAAAAATGTATTAAAACAATTTGATCAATGATAACTTATTTAACAGACTGAGAAACACTAATTTTAAAGCAATTTTTTATAACGAAATAAATATTTGCAGCAAAGCTTGACAATCATTTAATTTTTGGTACCACAGCACAATGATGCGTAATCCAAACGGCGACGTCACAAATAATCAATTTAACAAGTTGAAAACACAGAACACAGATGGCAAAAGCATAACAGAATAAAAGTCACGTGTAAGGTAGTCAACATCACAAGAGCGTAAAGGACTAGAAGGACCCTTTTATATTTTACCCTTTCATTCATCACCAGCAACTACCCCGTTGACTCTAAAGCTCAAAGCCTCAAAACCCATACCGCCACAACTCTGTTGTTACATTTTTTTTATTAAAAAAATATTTTTTAGTATTATTCATATATTAAATTTATCAATAGTTTACTTTTTTAATCAAACTTATTATATATTTTTTATTATATGTTAATATTATTTTATTTGACAAAGCTGAATTATACTTTTTTCATATTTTAATGCTTTTTTTATTAAATTTATTTGAGTAATTTTTGATAATATAAAATATATACCATTTATAAAAATAAAATTATAATTTTAACTGAAAAACTCTAGTTTTATAAAATGGTATTTTTTTAATTTAAAAATACGTTTAATAAGCATTAAAAATAATTTTTTATTTAAACTACAAATTTAACATAATATATTTATTAAGACTCGAATTTATGTTATAAATTAATTTAAATTTTTTTTATCAGCTGATAAAAAAATGTATTAATAATATTTTTTATATTCTTAAAACAGTAATAAAACGTATAAAAATCTGAACTTAAATTTATCATGTTTAGTTATTATTCCTTTCAAGTTTCTACAATGAAGGCTTGTTTGGTTCCATCGCTGTTACTTAAAACCGGATAAAACCCCCAACTACCATTCCTTCGCTCCCTTCCGGTTTCATCCATAATTCTCAGATCTACCTCTCTCTCTCTCTACCTCTCCCTCTCCCTCTCCGATGGCTTCTACGGCTGTTGCCGCCGCCGCCAGGACTGAACCGCCGTCACAGTCGGTGGATCCTTCTCCGTCGTTTTCCGCCGACACCGTTGATCGGAGCGATTCTTTCAATTCCTCGCCGAACCACTTCTCCGACACTGAAATTCAGGTACCTTCTTTGCTCTCCGAACAATCGTTCTCTTCGGTTCGATGCTCCGTGCTTGCTGCATTTGTGATTCTTCGAGTCGGTTCAGGCGGTTCAGTCGGTGTAGTAAAGTGTGGAATGGAATTGTTCGTAAGAGTTCAATTTATCGCTTCTTCAGTCAAACCTATGAATTGCACTAGTCATTCGTGGAATTTTTGGGTTTTGGTGTTAGGATATCTTTGCTCTTTGAATTCTTCTAGTTTTTGATCCATTTAACTGAAATTTGTATTTGGTTTGAAGGTTATAATGTCGTTGAAATTTGATATATTTTTGGTCGGACAGATTGTATAATTTTTGTTATTTTTCCCCTTTAAATTACAGTCTCCGGACGTATTGAAGAGTGAAGAGTATCGTCAATTGTTTCGTCTTCCACCAGAGGAAGTGAGTGGTTTTCAACCTTTGAGATATATATTATAATTTCTAACTTTATGATTATCATCGTACCGTGGAATAGTTGGCAATCTCTGTCTATTCACTTTTGCATGTTTTACCGAACACATGTATTCGTGGTCACTGATCAACTGGCCATGCTATCTTCTCTTCTTTCTCATCATGATAATGAGATGATTTCGTACTTCTTTATGTGCTTTCTCGAAGACTAGAATGTACTTTGGTCTTGCCCGTACTATAAATTTTGGAAGGTTAAAGTGGTGTTTAACTCATGATTCATTGAATCCCCCCTATAATGCATTATGAGGGGATTTGATTTGGTTTTAATAACAAATATGGCATAGATATATACCCAAAATTCAATGAATCATATTTTATTTGGGTAAAGCTTACACTATTTAAGCTCATCTAATTCTTACAATAATTTTAGATGGACGACATTGATTTTGTGAAAGTTGTAGTTAGAAATGTGCATATTTATAGTTTTTGGAGTCGCAAATACTTGAGAACTTTCTGCACTTTGATTTCCCTTTTGTTTTTTTGGTAATTGAAAAGACTTCTTATTTGTTCTCCTTTTCTTTAGGTCCTTATTGAAGATTTTAATTGTGCCCTCCAGGAAAACATACTTATTCAGGTAAAATTCTGGTCATGATTTATTGTTAAATGGTAATACTCTTAACTCATAACTCATAAATACTGTGCATTATCGTTTCTATTTGAAGATCACCATTGTATTTTTCCGTTGGTTAAAAATAAGTTAAAATGCATCACTTGTTTGAACATATTTTCATTTGTTTTCCTAATGGTTTATTAATTGCTTTTTGTAGGGTCATATGTACCTCTTTGTCAACTTCATTTGTTTCTACTCAAACATATTTGGGTTTGAGACAAAGGTAAGTTGCTTAACATGATTGTCTATGCATATAAACATTCTTTTAAAGTCTTTATGGGATAAATTATATTTATATTTACCTAGAATATGTTGTATATAAATAAGATGTATATCATGGTTAATCATTGTACATGCTACTACCTTGAATTCTGTTATAGGTTTATGTATGATCACATAAATGGCTTCTGCTTCTAAATTATGTGTGGCAGAATTTGATTTTCTTCTTTAAGTTAATCTCGCTTAGTTATTACTTTCTATCAATTAATACATACATACCAAAATACATAACCATCATGATTCAGAAAACAAAATAATTACTCATTTTGTAATAACAGAAAGGTATATTTTCAATGATGTACTTGGTTACCTGAATCTGAATGGTTGGAACTTTGGCAGATGCCAATTAAAATGAATTTTAATGTGAAATGAATCTCCTTTCATGATTTTTTTAATTATGAAGAGTTTTAGCTAGCAATTTTGGTTTTAATTTCAATTTTTGCTGCATCATGAAAATATCAATGATATATGTTTCAGAGAATAATCCCATTCCCTGAGGTCACCAGTGTAAGGAGGGCAAAGACGGCTGGGCTCTTTCCCAATGCCATTGAGATTCTTGCTGGAAGCAGGAAGGTGTGTTGGAAGTGGAGTAACATTTACATTAGTTGTATTTCAATGTAATTATGATCTGTATATTACTTTTCTATTTGTTGTTTCTGTTTTATTATGCTGGAATGTCTTAATGAAATTATTTATTTTGCAGCATTTCTTTGCATCCTTTCTATCTCGTGATGAAGCTTTCAAGATTATTAATGATGGATGGTTGCGACAGGGCAATGGAGCCAGAGCAATTATGGAACAGAAGGTGTTTTACTACAGAACTCTCTCTTGATACTAATTGTTTATGTTTTTTGCCACTCATGGTGAACATTATAAAATTTTATGTTGGTAATGTGTTATGTGATGGTTTGTAGGAAAGAATGGCACCCTTCTACTAGTTTGAGAATTAGTGAGGAAGCCAAGGAGAAGTCAAATCATTGGGTTACATCCTAGGATTTTATATTCCTCTGTTCTTTTTCATTTTGGGTATATATCCGAGGTTTCTACATTATCTGGGTTAGTCTTCAGGTGTTTTTTTTTTTTGCCACTGTTGAAGTTCCACATCTACTATATATACAACCAAAGTGAAGCTTACAAATGGATGGTTTAGGCAATTCTTACCTTCAGCTAGCTTTTGGGGCTGATTTAGGCTGAGTTCATGGTCTAGATGTCCAATTTTGAATGTGAGGGAGGTGTGTGTATAGATCCCATATCAATTACAGATATAGTTAAAGTAGAGCTGACAAAGGCAGTAGGCAATCCTCATCTCATTAGTAAGCTTTTGGGGTTATGTTAGTTTAAGCCCAAATTTAAGATGATATCAAAGATTATCGTAGATCTGATGTTTGATCACCCTCAACTAAAAAACAAGAAAATCAAACCTGGCCCCATAACATTTTCAGTGCAATTAACTTGGTTCTCTTCCTTTCTAGAAAGTGAGTGTGTCTTTCACAGGGTGCATTCCATACCTATTACATGTTATACAAGATTGTTTTACTTTTGCTAATATTTTCAGTATTCAGTTCTTGTGGAAATTTGGATTAGTTGTGACTAATAAGATCTTAAAATGCCAATTAATTTGTCAAAATTACATGAGTTATACCGTTGCCCTCATATTTATTTTACTTCAGGAATCAATGCCTGAGTCCAGCAGCCAAGAGAACGGATTTGTAACTGTTGAAAATGTCAACAGTTCCAATACACAAGAGAATGAGTTGTTTTCTACTGATCCGTATGTCCATTCATAATTGCTGTTGCTTTAGAATAAATTATTTTCTATTCAACTCATTTACGTTTTCCTTGCGCATGTGAATCAGGAGCAAAGATACTTTTATGTGCAAAGATATGGGGCTTCCATCCATTGTAGGAGATGACCTCGTATTGATGGAGGATTCAGAGAAGCAATCCAGTGTAAGACAGGTTGCTGAACCTGAATTGAATAATGATGTCCCAAGTGTAAGTTGGAACTGGAACGAGGAGGATATTGATGCTCCGACAAGTGAGTTTGGAAAGATATCTATATATGTTTTGGATTCATGCTTATACATCAAATGTTTGTAGTCATTTAGACATTGTTCTGAGGAAAAATGTATCAACGGTTGTGGTTTAAATTGTTCACTGGATGCTATTTTCATGGACCTGGGAAAAAGTGTTTGAATTATAGATAAAAAGAACACTTTGTTGTTGCTTCAGGATTTTGGGGTAGATCTATGCACGCAAAACTTCCTTTATTGAAATTTGTAATGATCAAGTGGTTTTGATATGTGGGATGGAAGTAGAATTTAGTTGCTACCCTGCTATTGTCTTGCTGACATTCTGGCTTGAATTGAACAAACAATAACATATTATTTATCTATTTAAAATGCTGTGCAAGAGTTAAAGAACAGAAGAGGGAGATAGTGCAAAATTTGCTTCTTTGGCTTTGTTACTTTTTCAGTGCAATTTCAAGTGTAGACCTGATGAAACTCACTATTCTAGATCATATTTATTATAAACATCCTTTTTCTTTTCCCATTTCTTTCTTTTTACCCCCTCTATTTTCACTTTTTACATAATTTGTGCACAAAGTTTCTGTTCACACATCAATTTTTTTCAGTTTTTCCTCTTAGTAGGAATCAACCTAGCTTCAACATATAATTTTCTTTGGACTAATTTCTCTAGATCAACCTTTGGGATGAAAGTTTTATTCATATCATGTTTATAAAATTTAAATAATATTTTGAACCCCATCTAGAACCTTTAATATTAGCTTACTATAAAAATATCAAAATGTATAGGAAAGTATGAACTATTTTATTACATCATTACTATTAGGCTTAATTAAGTAATTAATCCCTAAAAATATCACCATGTGGTTTTTGTTAAATGAGAAACACATTTTGAAATTTTATTTGATATTAGTCCGTACACTAAAACCACATGTTTTTTGTTAAATGTAGGGACAAAGAATGCTAAAAATGCACTTTCTAACACACTCTTCTTAACACATTCTTAGTTATTAGTTAAAATTTATTGAAAATTACAAACAAAAATACGAGAGAGAAACATTAAATTAAGAGTGAGAAAGAGAAATGTCCAAACAAATGAAGGTTTTATTTTCCTACACCTTTCTTTTCCATAAAAAAAGCAATAGTGTTTTTGGGGCTGGCTGCTATGTCTTGCTATGTAGGATTGATAACTATGGTATGCATGGAAAAATGAGAAACACTTCACATGTAAATGTCCATTGTCTTTATCTTGTAACACACTGCTATCTGTTCCCCTTATGTGTGCAAGAATCTGATGGATTTGAACTTACTTTCTAATATGCAGCCCATGAAGCATATACATGTGTTGCAGATGCAGTGTTTCCGGTATTATCTTACTTGAAAATCACTGGATCATTTTTACCTTTTAAGTTTTTCCTTATTAATTTGATCAATATTAATTTTAAAAATTTTGAGATTTTCACAAGGTTTTGAATTTACAAATTGCAGATAAAGGTTGAAGACTTCTTTAGGTACTTTTTCTCAGATGATGCTGTAAATTTTCTTGAGTCTTTTCATAAAAGATGCGGTGATAAAGGTAGCCTGCATGAAACTCTTAAACTGGTGCATTTCAATTGTCATTTTCATTTCTAGTTTTGTTTACTATTCTTATGGTCATTTAATATGATTTTAGGGAAGGAATAGATATAATTGATTTCCATGTACCTTGTTTTGATGAAGATGATTTCTTTTTTTCTTTAATTTTTTTTTGTGTCTTTCAGACTTCAGGTGTGCTTCATGGCGTGCTCAAGAGAAGTTTGGGTATGCTCGTGAGCTGTCATTTCAACATCCAATAAAACTTTATCTTGGTATGATTTTGATGCTTTTATTTCGATATACACAATATAATTGCTTGTTCTGACATTGGCTTTGTTTTCCTATTATAAGTATAATTCATAGGTTTTTGAGTATTTGATAGTCATGTAATTTAATTTACGATGACAAAGAACTAAACATTGTAATCTAATTCAATTGTCATGCAAATTATAGAAGGATAAAACTTGAGTTATACTATGAAGTTATAGAAAAAGGTGATTGAGCGTAGACTAAGAAGAAATTGAGATTGCAAAATATTAATTGATTTTATGTTAGGAAGGTCTAGAAAAAGCTATATACAAAAGTTGATAAAAAAATATTGTTACATAAAAAAAATTGATTTACATGGTGTAGGTTTTATTAACCAAAAAATGCATAAACTTTTGTGTCAAAAGAAGTATTATAGAAGACATTAAGAAGAAAAAGAATTCGTGTAAGATATATTTAGACTATACAAAATATGTATGATGAAGTGACTACGAGTGTAAGAATTCTTAGAGGCGTATCTAAGAACTTTCTTATAGGGATAGGTTTACATTAGGGTTTTGCTTTGAGTTCTTATTTGTTTAACCTAGTTTTAGACGTATTTGCAAGTGACATAAAAAATTATCTCTTAAGTGTGATGCTCTTTGCAGATGATATAATCTTAGTTGAATAACCTTTCAATTTGAGCTTTGGAGACATATTTTGAAATCTAAGAGTTTTTGCTTAAGTAAATGAAAAAGAGTATATGTATTTCCATTCTAGTAAGAAACAAGATGACAATTGCCCGTTGCAAGTTAAAATTGGAGGTGACCTAATATCATAGGTCTATAAGTTTAGGCACTTGAGAACAATTTTACATAATAGTGAAGAAATTAATGAAAATGTCACTCATAAAATACAAGTTGTGCAGTTAAAGTGGAGAACAATTTTAAGAGTTCTTAATGATCATAAAGTACTTATTAAATTGAAAGGAAATTTTTATCATACTATCATATGATCAACTATTCTATATAATAGTGAATTCTGAACTTTAAAGAAATAATATGAAAATAAAACGAGAATGTTAAATTGGATAAATGATCACACGAGAAAGACAAAATAAGAAATGATTGTATATGCAATAATATTGGAGTAGCATCTATTGTGAAAAAAATTATAAAAAATCAATTGAAATAATGAAATGGTTTAGACATATGTAAAGAAGGCCACTGGAGAAACTGGTGAAGAGAGTGAATAGCATAGTTAAGCTTGGTAAAAAGGGGTAAAAGGAGGCTCAAAAGAATTTTAGAGAAAATTATTAAAAGAGATTTAATGATGAATAATATCTTAGAGACTTTGGTTTTTAACTGAATTTAATGGCGTTGTGTGATTTGTGTAGTTAACCTCATCTTCTTGAATAAAACGTAGTTGTTGTTGTATAGAACTAACATGTTCATGAGTTATGAAACTACTTTTAATTTTAAAAAAATGTGTTTAAGCATCGCATATGTAAAGTTTGCAGCATGTTGTTAACTAGAAGTTAACAATGGTAGTTAGAGAGTGGGGGAGAAGTTTGTTATGTAGTATGGGGGTTAATATAAGAAAAGGGAATAGAAAAGAGAAGGAAGAAAGGTATTTGGTGACTTAGTGGAACGGAGGGAAACCTTTGGAATAAGAGTTCTAACTCTGGAAGAATTGTATCTTCATTTGGGGTACCATTCCTGATAGCTATATAATACATTAGCCATATTTGCATTAACCTTTTCTGTCACTGTTTTCTCCTGTTACGGAGTTCTATCAATGTTGTTAACATGAAGTTGACTAAATATATGATGAGTGAGTTTAACTATTCGGAACAAAAAGTTTACAAGCACACACTTTTATAAGATGGTGCAAAAGTGGGTCTAATGAAGGTGAATGAGACACACAGATCCATGTTCTAGTTGACTAATTGAATAACATTGAAACTAAATGTGTAAGGCTAGCTTGTGTATAAAAAATCTGAGGATATACTCTTAAATCTTAATTAGGGCATTAATAACTTTTTCCTCTAATATATCAATGAATTTTCAAAACTTTAGGGGAACTGCCAACTTGCTGCAGGACATGATTCTGTTTCTTTTGCAGGAGCAAAATTTGGTGGCTGCCATGAGGTCCAGAAATTTCGTGTATACAGGAACAGGTTTTTCCTTTGACTTACTTTTATCAATCTATTTATGTTTTACATCAATTCATCTTCTTCTCTCTCAATGCTATTATTTTAGCTAAAGGTTTTGGGGACCTTCCAATCGAAAGGAAACAAGATGGAGGATAATTATGAGGGATAGGGTGCCCCTTGTGGTTAGGAACTTAGAGGTGTTGTTGGGTGGGTTGGATAACATAATGAAGTAAGTGTAGTAATAGCCTATTTTCCTGTTTTATTGATTTCATGGCTTTTAAGTGGGAGAAGGTGTGAAATTAAGACAAATGCTGCATAGTGTGCTGAGATAGGATGGAAGAAAATGTCTCTTGTGATGTTTTGTGTATCCTAAGATAAAGAGGTTGTGGTGCCAGAGTTAAAGCAGCTGATATAAAATTAGAAATGTAATTGTTTGGGTTTTGTGGCTTGTTTGCTTTTCAAGAACTCTTATGATTGGGAGGTGGGAGTAGAACATTTTTATTCAATTAAATAGTTTAGTTCAAACTGTACATTGTGAGTGTGGAATGGTGTACATCATGAATATACAACTAGAATGTCTGGTTTTTCCCCACTTTTTTGTTTTTAGTCCATACTTTTCCCCCGCATTTTTGTTTGTATTCCTTATTTTTTCTGCCTTTTGTTTTATTCCCTATCTATTTTCTTTTAGTCCCTTATTGTTCTATAGTATGAAGAAAAAAGGAGATTGAAAAGTTATTTAGACCTTTCCTTTTATTTTTCTCCTCTTTGCCAAGAAAAACTGGCTAGCACTTAGGAATCCTAATGTTTTTATTGTTATGTTGAAGTGTAAAAATGGTTGCTTTTGCTTCTTTTGTGCATTCTATTATTTCCTTTATCTATTTTCTTGTGTTTTTTCATGTTTATTATTTATTATTTGTTCAAAATAGAGATGTTGCTTTGACTACATGAATCATAGAGTTCTTAAAATGTTTAATATGTTATCTTGACATGTTTTTGTTTCTTCATCCAGTCATTTGGTTATAGAGACATCGCAGGAAGTCAGTGATGTGCCTTATGCAGATTATTTCCATGTTGAGGTACAAATTTTCTCAAAACATTAAGTCTTTACCCTTATGAAATTTTTAGTAATTTTAAACTGTATAAACTTTCAATTTAAAATATTTCTTGTTTTACATCTTGTTCAAAAGAAAAGGACAGTTTATTAGAGAGGAGAAAGTTTTACAGTAGAGTTTTTGGACAAAACATGCTCCTTATTTGTGGAACAAAAAGAAAAAGATTAGGAGTACACAATGCATGAAAAAAATAAGTCTGTCTGTCATGAACCAATTATTGCAAAAGGTTATGTTATTTGGTGAAGATACTTGAATGGTTTGATTTTGCTCTGTGCTCTGACTCACTTTGTGCTGAAATTCAATTTCTTATTTGACAAATTGTGGCTGAAAAGTGTCAAATTCTAGTCCACTTAGTCATATAAGCTCTAATACCAAATCATTAATCATCCATCCTTAAAGTTTTAGCAATTAGGTGAAGACATGAGCGATTTTATGTTTTGTAATTTATAAAGTTTAGGTCATATAGTTTTATAATAAAGAAAATCCAGCATTGTTTTTATCCTTAACCACAACTGGGATTTATTAAAGAGGTAAGTGAGATACTTGATAAGCAAGCCTGTATAAGACTGGCATGGGCTACTGAAAGATAGGAAATTGCATTTCCAATTATTTAGCGCTTGCACATTTAGCTAAACAGTAAAGAAGAAAGAATTTGATGCTCTGGTAATTTGATGCTCTGGTAATCTCAGCCGAACTATGTTTTTTCCAAATTAACTTTGAGATCCAGGCCATGAATTATTTTATTTAGAAATTTAAGATGGGGAATGGGGACTATACCAGTACTGCAGCTTATTTTCAGCCTAATGCACAAGCTCACACCCTTACGGGCTCCAAGGAGTGTCAGATTTATGCAGTCAACCCATGAACAGAGAAACTGTTTTTACAGCTACCTGTAATTACTTGGTCACACAATAGCAACCCAGTATGATGGCATGTTGCATTTACCTAAGAACATTCTTATTTGTTCTATAAAATGCTAAAATGGATTTGACATTAGGATTGGGCTAGATGCAATTAAATTTTTTTTTTTCTGTTGGGCACTGCACTTGAAAAATAGTTTGCACATTTTACCAACATTGATGAATATGATACTCAAAGAGTGAGATGATATTTGATCATTTTTTAACATAATAAGTGACTTTATGAATTAGGTTACAAACATTTAGACTATTTTCCATTTAATATTGGGAATTACTGTATATTCCACTATCATATGACCCTTGCATTTTATTTAATTTTTGACTTTATACTCTGAACATCGGGATGCCTCAAAACATGCATTTTATGTTTCCACTAGATGAAACAGGCACTGAATGAATAGTTTGTTTTGTTTTTCTGAGGAAAATCAATTTATTTAGTTAAAAGAACCCGACTATTTTTAAATACTAAAAGTTTGGGACACAATCAGGTTGTTATTTAAGCTTGATATTATTTATGGAACAATCTTTTGTTAATTCTATCTCTGTTTTAGTAATTTCATTAATCTTCTTTTCCATTGTGAATTGTCAGTTTTTACTTATGTATGGTTTCTTTGGCCATTACCAGGGACTATGGAGTATAGAGAGAGACAAGGATGAATCAAAAGATTGCTGTATTTTGCGGGTATATGTGAATGTGGCATTTTCTAAAAGAACTATTTGGAAAGGTATGGCTTTTCATAATGTATCCTGGAAGAACATTTCCTTGGTTTTTATCCTAAATATCTTATAATCTTACTATCATAGATGTTGTTGATTCATTAGTTGTGCACTTCTATATCATGGTAAATTACTGAGTTTTATATTTGCATATCTTTGTCGTCTATGTCAGTTATGTGTGCTTGCTTATTGTCTTCAATTTATACCATGAACACTTGTGTATGTTAAAGATCTTATGTATTAGGAACATTTTCCTGAAATCAAAGAACTATGGTATGATGTTTTAGCAAGTAAACCATAATTAAACTACGTTGGTGAGCCTATTTTCTGCCCTGTCTCTGCACCAAGCTCAGCCACTTTTAATGAGTGGATGACATTGATTAACTGTCATCAACAACAACCACCAAATTTTATCTCACTATGTGAAGTAATCAGTCTCCAATTAATTACCCTTGCCTTGCCTTTTGCAGTCAATAATCAATAAATCTTCCTATATTCTGAACAAAGTTAATTTTGATCTTTGAGTGAATACCTTTTCTTTTTACATATGAAATTCTGATGTCAATATCTTAAAATTGTCAATATTGATTATACTGTTTTTTTTTTTTTTACTTGTTTGTTATTTTGGTCTTCTAATCTGTTCCTTATTGGACACACTATCATAACTGAATTTAGGAGATTGTTTAATACAGATTATTTCTCTCTCCCTTACTCACACACAGTTTGAGTTGCACTAGGGTGTGTTTTTCTTTTTTGTCATTATCATGAACTTCAACAGTCTTTGATTCCACGTGGGTGAACAATCACAGGCAAAATAGTACAGTCAACAATTGAAGAATGTAGAGAGGCTTATGCGACATGGATGAACATGGTATTCTTTGTGTGTTTTTTGTTTGTATGTATAATACATATTTTGCTTTTGCTACTGGTCCAAGTTCTCTTCTAAATGCCCTTTTGAGAATGTATCAATATTTCTTTTAGGCACATGAAGTGTTGAAGCAGAAGAACCTTGAAAAACGAGGTTTGGCTTTTACAATTTCTATATTTTCTTAAATTTTGAAATTTCTTTTGGGTTCAATATAATACTAGTGTCAAGTGAAATATCCTATTTTTGAAGATATATGTTTTACTTTTCAAGAGGCTAAAAGTGGTCCTGTTGCTACTGTAGCTCAAAATGGTAAAATGAATTTAGATAGAGAAGCTAAGACTGGAGAATCTTCAGAAGGATCACAGGAGCAAAGTAACTCGACAAAGATACTAGCTCCATCCATACTAGCTCCATCCAATGCCTTTGATGCTACAGCCCACAATGTTGGCACTCACTTGCAAAGAAATTTCCTTGACACATCATCTGTTCCATTTTTCAAAGAGTTTATGACTAAGTTCAGGTCATCTTTGAAAAATCAGAGCAATCTTACTCTGCTCCTTGTCTCTATTTTCGCTCTGATTTTCTTCATGCAGGTGTGTACTTTAAGCCAGAAGTTTATAATGATGCCTTTTCTTACTTTGATTTGTTATGAAATTCTGCCAAGAACTTCTGACTAGCAGGACTGCCAAATAAAACTGTTCATAAAAAATTGTTTCTATTACTGGCAGCAGATTGCTCAAGTTAGTCACTTCATAAAAAACTATTATGTACATAATTTGCTTTCCTTCTTTAAAACAAATTTATTCCAGCCCTATGCTTCTCACACAATAAAGGAAAAATTCAAAAATCTAAAATTAGTATTCAGTTGCTCAGTATTTGATTTAAGAATCATTTAAACACCCCCCCCCCCCCCCCAAAAATTCACTTGTTTTCTCGTTTACCTTGAAACATCTTAGACTTTTACCAATTCTGATTTATTTTTGAAATTCAAATTTCTAAAGTTTTTGAATTTAAGGGGGCGTCTGCAATGATTTATCTTTTCGTATAATTGCGAGTCTACTACTTTACATTCAACTTACTGCTAACCCTTTATTTTGTTGCAGCAGTTCAGCATACTTGTGCTATTGGCAAGACCTCAACACGTACACATGAACACTCCTGTAGACTATATGAATAGGATGGAAAATGGAGTTACTAGAAGTTCCTCAGACATAGCGTGGCTGGAGAAAAGAATTCATCACCTTAAAGATGAGATGTACATGGTTGAGAGTAGGCTTGAAAGGATGCGGTATGAACATGCACTCTTAAAAAAGCAACTAAACGATCTAGAACATAAGTAACTTCCCAATTTTATTGTCAAATCATATTTTTCTTTATAGCATCATTTTGTATATACATGTGATATGTGGATATGACATTTTTCGCAAATTCATTTTTCGTCGTTGTAAATGAGTACGTTATGTTCTACGTAAAATTAAAGATAAGAGGAATTTGTGATTTAGGGTTTGTTTGACAGAATCCGAAAACTGGATGAAATACAGTGGGTCAGTATTATAATTTTAAGGCTTAATTGTACGAGTCAGTATAATAATTTGAATTTGCAGACTAGCTCTTGGAAACTATGCAGAATTCCGATTTACAGAATTTGAAAAATATTTGCTTCGATAAAAATTGCTTTTGAATGTGTGTTTTTTTCTCTAGCATGTGAAGACATGTGTTAGCACGATGAAACAAAGAAGTTCTTAATTGTAAAGTATGTTTCTTATTTTAATTTGATTAAACTTTCACTTCAGATCTTGTCGAATATTTTAATTTTTAGAATTTGAAAAATGTCATGTTAATATTTTCTTCTTGACTTTGTCCACTAGTTTAGCCTGTTCTGCCACACGTCTTAAATATAAAGTAACAGGATATAGTATATTTTTATTTTTAATTCTTAAGATTGTTATATATCACAGATTTAGAGCATGTTTGATTTCTATTTTTAAAATAATTCTATATTTTTAAAAATTAATTTTAATATAGATTTGTATTAGAATTAATTTTTGAAAAAAAAAAAACTGTTTTAAAAACAAAAATTAAACATATCCTTAGTCTATAATTTTTAAAATTATTTGTCTATTTATCTTTCTTATTGATTCTTTCTTAATATTATTAACGGAAGTTATCATTACTGATTATTATTTACATTTTCATTCTTTTATAACATTGTTATTAAAGGAAGTTATCGTTACTGATAATTATTTACAATTTTTATTGACGATTTTGTTACATTATTTGACCATTTTTTGATACTATTATTATTATTATTTTTAATCATGCTCTCTTATATTTTATTTTTCTTTATTTTTACTTTCTTATATTTTATTTTTATTTTTTTTTCTTTATTTTTACTTTCTTTCTGTCACTTTCTTTTTTCCTCCGTAGACTATAGAAGAACTATTTAAAAGGAAAACTACCCATTTCCTCAATCAACCACTTTCATTGAGTTGGTTTGAATTTAGATTCACATGAACCAAATCGGATATGACAAAAATAGAATTTGGAACATCTCCAAAAATGAGTTCAAAGTTAAAGTGAGATTTTTCAGTGAAATAAAGTCTCTAATGGAAGACGATATGCTATTTTTGAGTCCATTGGAAAGAATATTTAAGATTTTGAGACTAGTACGTATTATTCCTTTAGGTTTATTTGTTAAAAAAAAATTATGTGGGTAAAGTTAGAATGAATGTTATTTGAAAAAGAACTAGAGAGATTGACATAAAAATTAATCAAAGTAGTGTTGAAAAAGTGTCCAATGACACTGACAAAGTTGTCTATGATGAATGAAGATAGTGATCAATAATAATTGTGTAAGGAAGAATGAATAAAGATAAATAGATAAAATATTTTAGGAACTATATCATTAAATGAGTGTTAAAAAATAAGTCTATAAGACCTTTTTTTAATAAAAGTCAATTAATGACATAAAATGTGTTAAAATGACTGTGTTAGAAAATTTGTTCACAAAACTTATTTTTTATAAATTTTCAAAATTTTCTCATTATTTTATTTAAATAAAAAAATTAATTATGTAATAAACACAGGAACTTCGAAACATGCACACTAAATGAGTTTGGTTTGACTAAACACTAATTGAGTCAACCATGCAGGAAAAAAAAGTCACATGATGAGAGAAGAGAAGAGAACCTGCTGATAAAAATTAGATGAGTTGTTGTAGAAACTAAAGATATTAAAATAAAATAATGCACATGTTACTAACAACTTATAATATAACATTTTATAAAATAATTTCTATTATAAGACAAGGGTAATGAAATATACCATAAAATATATCACATCATAATAGTGATTAGAGTGTTATATTTAAATGTACGGTATGTTATTAATAAAAAGATATTTGTTAATTAACAAATGTTGATCCAAGTAACAAGCGGTTCAATATTACTTAAATAAGATTCGGATTTGAGTTTTTATATATATAAAAAAAATTTAATGATAGACTCATCTACCATATTTAGGTGTGCGATCTAAGTAAAATTTAAATTAAACTAAATAAAAAATAAAAATTTAAGATACTAAAAAAAAATTCACAATCAACTAAAATTTAAATTTAAAATATATAGCATTAATTATTCAATTTAACGTGCGAAATACATTTTTCAGTGCTGCAACTCTTGGCCAGCACAAGTCTTCATCTATTACTATTTCACTTCCAAAACACATTTAAAAGTTAAAACAAATGATATGCCTAAAAGCAAAAGTAAAAACTTCTGCCATGTACATTAACGATTAATTAAAATTAAGCTTAATATAATTACTCGGTGATGGTTTTATAGCAATGTTGTACTTCATATGGCATATACTAAGAGAAAATAGAATAGGGCACACAAAATAGAAGGCTGAAAATAATCAAAATATTATTATTGTTTGTCTTTGCTATACGATAAAGATGACACAGAAAATAAGATTAGAATCTCAAAAGAAATTTTAGAGATACGCTTTGCAATGGAAAGTTTGGGATTGCAAGTGCTTTACAGCCATTGAAGTGGCGCGCAGCCATTGTCTTTCTTATATATATATATATATATAATTTTCAATCAATTTTAATTAATAATTAACATGTATGTTAAAAGATTGCTAACATTATTCTTAAAATAAAATATAATCTCAGAACAATCATCATTTCTATGTTGGCTTGCCTCACGATATTGTTTTCTCAACGTCGAAGTTATTTTATTGAGAGCATTTCTCAATCATCATTTGTACGTATATCACATTCTTCTAGTATTTGTTCTTACTAATTTTTTTAATAATTGATTAAATAAATATTAAATATAAATATATATTAATGTCTTAAAAATATAAAATATTATTGATTTAATAAGTAGGAAGATTCCCTACAAAGAAATTTATTATCTATGAGGCTTTCATCTTACAAATTAAACACATATTTCTTCATATCTGTGACTATGGAGATTATATATATATATATATATATATATATATATATATATATATATATATATATATATATATATAAACTTAGTTTTTGTTACTCTGTGAGCACGCAGGTTATTTAAATTATTTTTTCTTAAGTATTATTAACCCACTTTAATGACGAAAACGAGTTGCATTAATATTGCATAATCAACAAATAGCTCATAATTTTTTATGTAATTTTTTTGGTTTCTTAATATCTTTGTATTTTCAACCTTAAAAGAATTTTTTTATATATTTCTATTTTTATTTTTATATTAATTTTAATAAATTCAAGTAATAATTACTTGAATAATATCGTTTTATAGATGAATATATACTTATGTGTGAAAAATTCTATTCGTTATTTTAAATATTATATACTTATAATATTTAATTTTAAAAACATTATTATACTTACCTATTAAATGGCATAATTCTATGAATAAAATAATTCTATAATTGTGAATTAAAAAATTCCATCAGATACATCAAATTTTTTCTTATAAAATTATTTAGTTTGACTTTTTATAATAGATATCATTGAATGGATAGAAACCATTTAATTTATGTAAAAAATAGTTTAAACTTTATGATTGAAAGAGAATACTGTGATAAGTATTCGTTTTAAAAAGTAATAATTTTATTTATCTGATATAGAAAATATAATTTTTTTATTAAAATTGATACTTTTTAATTCGATATTATAATGAACTTAATCACATATTATATATTTATTATTTTGTAGATAAATGTAATTACGTTGTAACAAAGTATTTTTAATTTAAATACATTGTCAGGTGAAAAAAACTTTTACACCTTTAATCAATTAAAATTCATGATAAGTATAACTTTCATACAAACTATGACAAAAGTTAAAGATTATTGTTTATATGACAATTTTTATTGAATGGCTGTATAAAAAAAGTTAAATTATGAATGTATTTTAATTAAATCAATTTTTAAATTATTTAATATTTTATGGTTATACGATAATAAATTTTACTAATATATACTTTATAAATAAAAGTCTATTTAATATTATTAAGAATGCATTATGAATAATTAATGGTGTAAAAAATATTATATGTTTTATAAACTTATGCATCATTTCAATATGAAGTCCAATTACTTATAATAACCCAAAAACTAAATGTAGGGACTGTACTCAACAGCACAACCAAAAACACTGGTACAGGAATTGGACACCACTGAAACATATCCAAATAATGATTCAAACTAGAAGTATATACCATCTGGAAAATAGTTGGTAAGCACTTTAAGAGGTGTTTACACTCAGATAAAAAGAAATAAAAACAAAATAAGTTATATAAACATAGAGTACTGAAAAAGTTTCTATATTAAAAGTTATTTTCTTTAAATTTTTTTATAAACATTAATTTTATCATAAGATCATACATTCATGTTCTCTTCCGTATTAAAATTTAGTCAAATTTAATATTCATATAAATATATTTTTTATTTATATAAAGTATATGCAAACTTAATCTATTAAAAAATAATTTAATAATAAATTGTCAAAATTTAATATTTATAAAAAGTTATTAAGTAGAATTACTCTTATCAAAGTAAAATGATCCACTCAAGGGAGAAAATTAAACAAATGTGGAAGCTTGTTAGAGTGTTTAAAAGTTAAAATTATAAATTATAAAAACAAACGAAACTTAAAATGACAACACCAACCTAACGAAGAGTGGGTGGCAACATGCAGCCCAACACGCACACAAAATGGAGTTCTTCACTATCTTAGTTGTTCAAACCAAACATCATAACCTTTTGATTATAAAGGTTTAAAATATGATCTACAACCGTAATTATAATCACATGCAATAATCAAGTTTTGGAAAATGCCACAACTATGTTAATTGCATTAATTACATTTACTTATAATTCTCTACAAAATTTTGATGGGCTATGTAACCATATGATTATATTCAACTTGAAGCCATATAATAATGATTGATCAAAGATTTTCATTCAATTAAGGTAAAACTAAAATAATTAGAACTTTGTTTAAAACTTTAAAATCCACATAGAGAATTGAAATATGAAAATTTCT